CTATTCGGATCATTATTTTTAGTCTATCCTCTATTATATTCGGATTCCATTTGAATTCTATCCTCTATTACTAAATTTAAGTTTATTTTCTATTCTATCCTCTAGATTATTATATACGGAAAGCCATTTCTATTCTATCCTCTATTATTATTCGGATCGCCATTTCTATTCTATCCTCTATTACTATTCGGATCGCCATTTTTATCTATCCTCTATTACTATTCGGATCACCATATTCTATCCTCTATTACTATTCGGATCACCATTTCTATTCTATCCTCTATTATTATATGGATTATTTCTAGTCTATCCTCTATTATTATTCGGATCGCCATGTCTATTTTATCCTCTATTATTATTCGGATCGCCATTTCTATTCTATCCTCTATTATTATTCGGATCACCATGTCTATTCTATCCTCTATTACTATTCGGATCGCCATTTCTATTCTATCCTCTATTATTTTTCGGATCACCATGTCTATTCTATCCTCTATTACTATTCGGATCGCCATTTCTAGTCTATCCTCTATTATTATTCGGATCGCCATTTCTAGTCTATCCTCTATTAATATTCGGATCACCATGTCTATTCTATCCTCTATTACTATTCGGATCACCATGTCTATTCTATCCTCTATTATTATTCGGATCGCCATTTCTAGTCTATCCTCTATTATTATTCGGATCGCCATGTCTATTTTATCCTCTATTATTATTCGGATCGCCATTTCTATTCTATCCTCTATTATTATTCGGATCGCCATGTCTATTCTATCCTCTATTACTATTCGGATCGCCATTTCTAGTCTATCCTCTATTATTATTCTATTCTATCCTCTATTACTATTCGGATCACCATTTCTATTCTATCCTCTATTATTATTCGGATCCCCTAATATTTCGGATCGCCAGTCTATCCTCTATTATTACAAGGATACCATTTCTATTCTATTACTATTCGGATCGCCATTTCTATTCTATCCTCTATTATTATTCGGATCGCCATTTCTATTCTATCCTCTATTACTATTCGGATCGCCATTTCTAGTCTATCCTCTATTATTATTCGGATCGCCATTTCTAGTCTATCCTCTATTAATATTCGGATCACCATGTCTATTCTATCCTCTATTACTATTCGGATCACCATGTCTATTCTATCCTCTATTATTATTCGGATCGCCATTTCTAGTCTATACTCTATTATTATTCCATTTCTATTTCTATCCTCTATTATTATTCGGATCGCCATTTCTATTCTATCCTCTATTATATATTCGGATCACCATGTCTATTCTATCCTCTATTATTATTCTGATCGCCATTTCTAGTCTATCCTCTATTATTTTTCGGATCACCATGTCTATTCTATCCTCTATTACTATTCGGATCGCCATGTCTATTCTATCCTCTATTATTATTCGGATCGCCATTTCTATTCTATCCTCTATTACTATTCGGATCGCCATTTCTAGTCTATCCTCTATTATTATTCGGATCGCCATTTCTAGTCCATCCTCTATTAATATTCGGATCACCATGTCTATTCTATCCTCTATTACTATTCTGATCACCATTTCTATTCTATCCTCTATTATTATTCGGATGATTTCTAGTCTATCCTCTATTATTATTCGGATCGCCATGTTTTATCCTCTATTTATACGGATAGATTTCTATTTCTATCCTTATTCGGATCGCCATGTTTATTCTATCCTCTATTACTATCGGATCTATTTCTAGTCTATCCTTTTTGGATCACCATGTCTATTCTATCCTCTATTACTATTCGGATCGCCATGTCTATTCTATCCTCTATTATTATTCGGATCACCATGTCTATTCTATCCTCTATTATTATTCGGATCGCCATGTCTATTCTATCCTCTATTACTATTCGGATCGCCATTTCTAGTCTATCCTCTATTAATATTCGGATCGCCATGTCTATTCTATCCTCTATTACTATTCGGATCGCTATTTCTAGTCTATCCTCTATTACTATTCGGATCGCTATTTCTAGTCTATCCTCTATTACTATACAGTTTGCCATTCTCTACTCTATTCACTATACTATTTCTCTATTCGGATCACTATATGGGTTACTGTTCGAGCGAGTATTACCGAGCAAGTACTATTGGGTCATCTGACACCAGTATTGTTCAACGGCGTTGCTATAGTTGTACCTGCGATTACAAAGTCTCTACTACAACAAGCATTACGAAAGTGACAACGAGTATTCGTTGACATCACAGAAACTATACATCCTCATATGATAGAGCTCTGATTTCCCCCGTTTATGCCCTTAGAAAAATTTCATTCATTAACCTTCTAACTTGAGTGACTCTTGAGTCTTGTATTGGGTGAACAATAAAAAAACTAGATTAATATGCCTCTCAGCGATCTTGCTTTCCAAACTGGGGCCAGTGTACTAATGATAAGGGAGCTCTGCTGATGACATAAGTATTCGTAATTGAGATATGAATGATCTTGAACAAAAAACTACATCCTCTACTAATTATTCCAAGAAAAGATAAACCTTTCCAAAACAGATATTATAATTTGAAATTGGAATGAAAGTAATGATGGCGCCTATTCTGAATCCACCATAAAATTCAAGGTGTGGAATGAGTAAATGCTAAACGTTTCAAATATATGGGTGTATCAATGAGTTATACCAATTTTAGTACAGAAGATAAGAAAACTGAACATAGAATAGGCTGAGCTAGGGGTAGTTTTCCCCAATACCGCAAATTACCACGAAGCCGAAACATTTACCTAAAAAATCGAGTCATGTTCTTAAATATATTCGTTAGATGGAAACTTTCATACATATGACATTCATGGCGCCAAAAACGTCCAGAAATATAGGGTCTCCCATAATCTTGGGGTACATATTAAATACAAGAAGCTTAAATTATGGGAATGATATAGACTATTACATAACTGACATACAAGAATTCAACATATTATCTAAGATTTTCATACTTTTTGCTATAGGTATTTGATATCTCTTTTTGCTGACAGTGGGCCCTCGTAATGTAGTGGACTCCAAAAGAAATTGCATACATGCATGTTCTCATCGTGATGGTGACCTTTTCAGGGATGTAATATTCAAATCTTAGATAGTATGCGGAACTCTTGTAAAGCCACAGAGACGCAAGGGGTTACTGTGTGTGGAAAAGTTAGTAACAGGAACATTGCTAAGGAGCGAGAACAGAGGAAGAGTAATCAGGAGGATAGTAGATAGCAATTGACATTGCATTTAAATTTTTGAAGATTAAAGTTGACTGGAAAGCAAAAGGCTACTAAGACACAAGGGCTTACTGGGTGTGGAAGAATTAGAAAACAGAAACATTACTAAGGAGCGAGAACATTTAAATTTTTGCAGATTAAAGATGGCCAGAAAGCATGGAGCCGAAAGGGTGTTCCACAAGCGAGAAGTGTAAGAAAAGAAACTGTTAGCATTACGCTTACACATAGCCTGCTCAATTGTAAATTGGTGAGACCCCATCGTCAGTCCAATACTGAGCTTAAATTGTCTAGGCACTATAACGAAGACAGACGGTCTGTCTTAAACTTTAAACTTAGCTAGCCACAAACACTGACCCAAACATACCACAATATTCCTAAAACCAAAACAACGCATTCTTACTTACCTTTCTTACTACATTCACTGTAATACCTCATTGTCTCTATGAAAGTCCTAATTAATCCCCATATGTACAATTCATTGTCAGTGGGACGAGGAGAATAAAAAACAATTTAAAAATATAAACCCCAATGAATATTTACAAAATTGAACAAAACTCTATACAAGAAACTAAATAAAATAATGTTAGTAAGAACCCCCCCCCATTCTTAAATGTGGCAGAAACATCAGTTAACTGGACGCAATCAATGCGGGACTTTAATAATATAAAACATTTATTCATCCCATGCACTCACACAGACACGCACTCATTCAGACACAACGATAAATACAAAAAAACACACCCGAAACTTAAAGGCGCCCTGCATCCACCAGAGAACTGAAATCACTGACCACCTAACGAGGGAGGGGATGAGGAATTAAAGAAAAATGGGGACAGAAATAAAAGGGGCCAATGAGCAAACACCCCCTAGATAAATTAACTGGAATGAAGAAACTCAAGTAACCAAAACAATCCTAAAATAGACGAAGAGTTCATCCGAACACTTACCATGAAAGTATTTATAGAATAGGTAAAGGGAGGTAACTCTACGGCGGTGGAAAAGTGACTGAAGCCGAGCCGCCAGATCAGGACCAATAATATTGCTGATCTTCTTTGGATTTTATCAAGGAGCTGGAGATCGATAGCAGGAGCACGGGACCATATGTGTCAGCAATATTCTAAGCATGGACAAATATGCGCTCTCACTTATATACAACCGCTTTCTTAGATGTCTGGTTAAACATGGCTTCGAGCAAATGAAGCCTGTTGACTTTCCTTACAGCTCCAAACAAAAGGCTAGGTAGGAATCAACTATTGGAAAGAGCTAGACGTGAAAAATCTATTTCCCTAAAATTGTTTTAAGAGAAAGATTTTATAAATTTAAACCGAAAAAAAAAAAAACACTGGCTGTTCGGTTAATGAATCTCAAAGGAAACCGCTAATATTACCAGTACTATTTTTAGAAAAGAAGAACATATATTATTATTTCAAACGCTAACTATTTCTTCATCATCCCTGTTATTAACTGGCTTGGAATCTTCTGTTTTCCAACAAAGGTACACCCAATTAACAATTTTAATTACCCGTGGAAAATTTCATGTAAGTACTGAAAGGGATGCTGAACATGTGGGGAGTGTATGAAATTATAATGTCATTTCTCCTTTTTTAACAGTTACTGCATTAGAAGCGTGAACATCTTTTTTGAATCAGCTTATATCTATAGCCAACCTTTGCCGACCATTTTCCCAATACCTAGCATTCTTTATTCATTCACGGTTTTCTCCTTTCCTCCTCAAAATCTCAATGGAAGCCATTTTTTTGGCATTTTGGCGGCATTACTTATTCTTAAGCCTCTTTCTTTTGTGGGTTGTTGCATATGGATATGGCCGAAGGAAAAAAGCGAAGAACAATAACAGAAAAGAAGTTCCCGTTTCATTCTCTCCATCTTATCGGCATAATTTCCAAATTGGGTATTTTTATACAAGATGGAAGTTGCGAGAATGCACATTCAGTTCGTTTTCATTTGATTTTGTCTGTCATGTTTTATCGGTTATTCATCTCTTTGTCTTTGAATATTCTTTATCTATCTATCTATCTATCTATCTATCTATCTATGTTCATATTTATCTATCTATATATCTAAAATATGTTCATATCTATGTTCTTATGTATCTATATGTATCTAAAATATGTTCATATCTATCTATCTATCTATCTATCTATCTATCTATCTATCTATCTCAGTCTGTTCATATACTGGAACACACCTATTCTATTGTTAATAGACTCTCCCACCTATAATAAGTAGTAGTAGTAGCAGTCGCTGAGTCGCTCAGTGAGTTGCTCAGTCAGTCGATGTCGGACGACCGTTATTCGGACATTAAAAGTATCAGCCACCACAACTAGATTTCTCTGCGTCATTACCTATTATATCAAGTTCCTAATGTTTTGCACGTCGAACCTATTTTAGGACCGACTTAATACAAATACAAGCCTCCACTGTGAAACCACTACATAACAGTTCATTATCTATCTATCTATCTATCAATCTATCTATCACAGTCTGTTCATGTTCATTATCTATCCATCTATGGAGAAATAATTTCGCTTGTAGTAATTAGCTGAATTTATGTTTGATTTTCTGGTGTTTGGAGTTATCAATATTTACTACTGAGCAGTAATAACAAAATCAGAACTAGGCGTGATATTCCTAGACATGGGCATTGGGACGAGAAAAAGCTACCACTGTAAGTTAAATAAAAAGTTCAGTTCGAAATTATCTGTGCGTTTATCGGATGGACAAGCACCTGATGAAAGCAGGGTGGCACAATGGTCGAAACGTTGTAATAACTGCAGCAAAGTTGAGGAAAACAGTCCGCGTGTAAATAATAAGTTTAAGTTTTTTTAAAATTTTCTCTACATAATGTTCGATTCATGAAATATTCACCACTGAATTAAGTGCATTGACAAAGAAGATTATATTGCAAAATAAATAAGTTTTCTTTCATTAGGTAGCAGATATAAATTTATATTTATCGATAAATTTGGTCTACATAATTGATATATAGGGTACCCCAGAACAGAAAAGGGATTTTAAAATCTCGTAATTTATAGTTTTGACTATTCAAAAATAGTTTCAAAACAGTCAACCATTACGGTCGTAGGGTGTTATACAGGAACGTACCTATTTCTATTGTAAATAGACTCTCCCACAGATAAGTAGTAGTAGTAACAGTCGTCAGTGAAGCTGAGTGAGTTGTGTGAGTCAGTCGATGTCGGAAATTAGAGTATGAGCCCCACAACTAGATTGTTGCGTCATTAACTATCATTTCAAGTTCCTAACGTTTTGTACGTCGAACCTAATTTAGGACCGACTTAGTGAAATATAAGCTTCCACTGTGAAAATTACTCTACAACATAGGGACACCATATATAATGCAGTCGTAGCAGCGAGATATCCTGGTGGGGGCCCAACTCTCTTCAGATGTTCCTTCTCCTAGACCGGTTGCCACCCAAAGCTATAGGACGCTGGCTTTCCTGCTATTTGCCCATAGCTGGATAGATAATAGAGGGTTTCATACCTTTCCCATTCTTTTTTTTTAGAATTAAGTGAAATTTAATGAACCTGACTGGAATTCGAACTCAGATCTCCGATTCCTCAATCTAAGCCTCTACCGATTACTCTACCGTGCCACCAAGATTTTTATACGGAATGGCAATTCAAAGACAGGAATTATGTAATCGTCAGATCTGATATTTTTTGCTTATTAACAAAGCCGTTCAAATGGAAATCAGCTTTGTCACTTGTAATGTTGAGCAATTGGTCATGGTCAAGTGTAATTGGCAGAAATACCCAACAGACAGAACTGACAAAGTTTGTAATAAACAATAACAAAAGAAAGAAAAGAACTAGACAAAAATCTATACTAAGCAAACAATATATGCAAGACAAAAGTAGGCAAAGCAATAGTAATGAGACAAAAAGATTCCCAAACTAAGAATCATTTCAACACACAAAGGGGATACAGACAAGCGACCGCAGTAATCCGACCTTAAAAAAAAAAGAAAGAACTAAAATAGGGCGGGTGATACCGAGAAGTTGTCCAGTTTTATTAGTTAGGAAGAAATCCCGACATCTATATATAGAATTTGTCTATAAATTTGGGTAGAAGACATTTTTAGTGATCATTCCACGAGATCGGAACCAACAAATATGGATTCCAATATATTAAATGTTCCAAGGAATACAATGTAAGATAATATTTTTCCAAGACAAAAAATCAGATCAACTATGAACATGGCCACAACTAAGAACGGGGTTAAGTCACAAAAGGGGATACAGACAAGCGATCTCAGCGTTCTGCCTTCAAGACAAGAAAGAGCAGAACTAAGACGGGTGTGAACGAGAAATGGTTTTATTGGCTACGAAAAAATTCCAGTTTAATACAATATGTAGATTAATTAGTCATGATTAAATGTAACAGAATTGACAAATTTTGAAATAAACAATAACAAAATTAAGAACAGGACAGGGCAAAATTAATACCAAGCAAACTATATGCAAGACAAAAGTTGTCAAAGCAACAGTGATAAGGTCAAAAGATTAACAAAGAATCGTGTCAACAAACACAAGGGATACAGACAAGCGATTACAGACTTCAAGACAAGAAAGAACAGAAATATAGTAGAGATTCTCTAAGCGTAGTTTAGATGTGGCACAAGGCTGAAAGTACGGAGCACCCAATGAGAATCAAACACACTATTCAAATAATATATAGAAATAATAAGAAAGACAAATTTTATTAAGAACCACAAGAAAGAGAAAGATGTGAAGAGCCATGATCATCTACACCTTGAAGGGACACGGTACAAGAATAATACAGGTATATCAAATGCCCCAATGAGTTAAATGACCCTATCTTGAATAGATCACTACCATTTGGAATACGGGTAGACAAAGCTATGTAAATTTGGTTGATAATCTGTCTATGGAATGTGGAGAGTAATTGGTCATGATTAAATGTAATTGGTAGAAATGCCCAACGGAAAGAATTGACAAAGTTTGCAATAAACAATAACAAAAGAGTAAAAAGGAACAAGATTAAAAATCTATACTAAGCAAACAAACAATATATGCAAGAAAAAAAAGTAGGCAAAAGGAACAGTAACGAGGTAAAAGGTCCACAAACTAAGAATCCGTTAACACACTGAAGGGATACAGACAAGCGATTGCAGACTTCAATACAAAAATATAGTGGTGATTCTCTAAGCGTAGTTTATTTGTGACACAAGGCCGAATGTACGGAGCACCCAGTGAAAATCAAACTCATTATTCAGTCGTAATTGAACTAGCGAGATAAGCTTTCTAAAAATTACACCACATCGAAGTGTCTCGTGATTTTTTAAGCATATTTAGATGTATATAAGGTCGAAAATATAGGACGCCCAGTGCGGATCGAACTAGCTAGTCAGTCGTATTTCATTTAGCAAAGCAAACTTATTAACGATTACGCAACGTCGAAGGCCCTAAATGATTTTCTAAATGTAGCTCAATGTGATATTTATATGCATCAGTATAGACTAATTTGTCATGATTAAATGTAAGGAAAGAATTGACAAAGTTTGTAAAAAACAATAACAAAAGAGTAAAAAAGAACAAGACAAAAATCTATGCTAAGCAAACAATATATGCAAGTCAAAAGTAGGCAAAGCAACAGTAATGAGACAAAAAAGATTCACAAACTAAGAATCATTTCAACACACAAAGGGGATACAGACAAGCGACCGCAGTATTCCGACTTTAAAAAAAAAGAAAGAACTAAAATAGGGCGGGTGATACCGAGAAGTTGTCCAGTTTTATTAGTTAGGAAGAAATCCCGACATCTATATATAGAATTTGTCTATAAATTTGGGTAGAAGACATTTTTAGTGATCATTCCACGAGATCGAAACCAACAAATATGGATTCCAATATATTAAACGTTCCAAGGAATATAATTTAAGATAAATGTTTCCAAGACAAAAATTCAGATCAACTATGAACATAGCCACAACTAAGAACGGGATTATGTCACAAAAGGGGGTACAGACAAGTGATCGTAGCGTTCTGCCTTCAAGACAAGAAAAAGAAGAATTAAATCAGGGTGAGACCGAGAAATGGTTTCATTTGCTAGGAAGATATCCCAGTTTAATACAATATGTAGATTAATTGTCTATGGTTAAATGTAAGTGGCAGAAATGTCCAACGGAAAGAATTGACAAAGTTTGTAATAAACAATAACAAAAGAGTAAAAAAGAACAAGACAAAAATCTATGCTAAGCAAACAATATATGCAAGTCAAAAGTAGGCAAAGCAACAGTAATGAGACAAAAAAGATTCTCAAACTAAGAATCATTTCAACACACAAAGGGGATACAGACAAGCGACCGCAGTATTCCGACTTTAAAAAAAAAGAAAGAACTAAAATATGGCGGGTCATACCGAGAAGTGGTCCATTTTTATTAATTAGGAAGAAATCGCAATATCCATATGTAGGATTTGTCTATGAATTTGGGTAGAAGACATTTTTAGCTATCATTCCATATTTATTCAGTATAATACAATATGTAGATTAATTGGCCATGATTAAATGTAATTGGCAGAAATGCCGAACAAACTGAATTGACAAAGTTTGCCATAAACAATAACAAAAGAAAAGAACAGGACAAGACAAAAATATTATTAAGCAAACAATATATGCAAGACAAAAGTAGGAACAGTTACGAGACAAAAAGGCCCACAAACTAAGAATCCTGTTAACACACAAAAAAGGCATACAGAAATATGGCGGACGAGAAAGGGAACGTATTGGTTATGAAGAAATCCCAGCATGCATTTGTACAGTTTGTCTTAAAATTTGGTGAGGGGAATGTTTTTGCAATTATTCCTATACAGGATTAGAAGCAACACATCTTATGAACAAATTCGTTCTCATCATCAATCAGCCTTTTTTATTTGGATCAAGTAATTTCAGTGTTATCGATGATCTTGCGGTTACAATCACTACCAATTGCACTTGCAAGGAGACATCTTCAGCTGATCAGATTATCCTGAATATGCCATTAAATTTCAGAATATGGAATTGATAAATTGTAAATACATTGGTATGCAGTATGGACTAATTGTACATGGTTAAATGTAATTGGTAGAAATGCCCAACGGAAAAGAATTGACAAAGGCTGCAATAAACAATAACACACAAAAGGGATACAGAAATATGGCGGACGAGACCAAGAACTTATTGGTTATGAAGAAATCCCAGCATGCATCTGTACAGTTTGTCTTAAAATTTGGGTAGGGGAATGTTTTTGCAATTATTCCTATACAGGATTAGAAGCAACACATCTTATGAACAAATTCGCTATCTTCATTAGCCAGTCTTTTTTATTTGGATCAAGTAATTTCAGCATTGTCGATGATCTTGCGGTTACATTCTCTACCAATTGCACTTGCAAGGAGACATCTTCAGCTGATCAGAGTGTTTGCCAATCGATGTTTTTGGTTCAAACGCGTCCACAATTCAATCTGTAAATGATCTGTACTCGCTTCTAATTCTTGGCAAGACACTTACTGAGTGATATTACTTAAAACGTTGAATCGACCGACGAATGATGTAAATGCGATGGTGTTTCTCCAGCGCCAAAAGTGTCGACAGTATTCTCTTCGGGGGTGAATGATGGATTGGTTAATTCCAGAATAAAATTCTAAGGTTTGGTTTTTGTTCAGTGTAATTTTTTCCATGTTCTGAAAAAAAATATAAAGAAATAAAAATGATGAAAAATCTGACGTTATGATATTTTTAAATATGCAGGTGCCTTTCGGGGCAACCTGTATAAATGGATGTATGTAATCTAGGCAGTTAGCTGTGTACTCTGAGCTTTAAGGTCCAGACTACATTACTCGGGTTTGAATTTTTTTAACAGCTGATTATAAAAAAAAAAAAAAAATTATATCACTTCTGAATCATTTCTGAACAATTTTAAAATTCATAAACAATTGGTATCTAATGTTTCATGGTAGATATAAAAATAGTTACAAAAGTTTACCAACCATTCAAACGGTTGCTGGGTATGACGTCATTTTTCTCTACCATTGTTCAACCGGTGACTGGACATTACATCACTTTTCCCTGCTACTGTTCAACCGGTGACTGGACATTACATCATTTTTATGTATCACTGTTCAATCGGTGGCTGGGCATTAAGTCATTTTTCTCTACCGCCAGTAAAGCTGTGGTCAGTAAGGATGTGGTCAGTAAAGCTGTGTTAAGTCCTGTGAATGAAAATTGGATAGACGTAATTGTTTGGAAGCTGACGATGTTTGCGCAGGCACAGAATCACAAGTTCATGCTTAATGGGCAGAATTAATTTTTTAAACTGGCAATCTACTGAGACGGTGGCTCAATAAAATCACCAAGAAGCCCGGCCACTAAAAATGATGAATCGGAAACAAGAAAAAAAGTTCACAATGACTGAAATTCTTAAAAATGAAATGCCAGGTGAGTCGAGAACAATACATGTTGATGTTATATTCGCCCCTACGATAAATTTCAAGCCCTTGTAAATTGAAAGAATAGGCTGTAATAATTGAAAAATTGGCTGCAATAGGGGTACTTTTCTCCAACACTATAAAATGCTAAAAAACAAACAAATTATCAAGCAAAGGAATTGAGTCATTCTCTTAAATAACCTTGATAGATTTAGACACTCATGGATGTCATGTTTAGTATCCATCTTGTTCAGTAATGTCTAAACTATCAGTCATATACAACCATTTTCTCAGATCAAAATTTAAAAATTGCCTCAAGCGAAGGAGGCACGGTGGAGTAATGGATAACGGCTCGGATTGAGGAATGGGAGAATCAAGTTCGAATTCAAGTCGAATCCATTACATTCGCTTACATGCTGATACCCTTGGAAAAGTTATGAATCCTCCTCTTCTCCCCTCTAGATAAGGTAAATAGCAGGGTAGACTGGGTGGCAACTGGTCTAGAACTCTGATTTTGGAGACCTTGTGTCACGTGGTGCACCAGGTCTCTGTATTCGGCTCGTCAAAAAGTGTCCTTGGTTCTGCACAGAGCCTTCACCACTATAATCAAATCATATGTGCAGGTTTTCTGGATGCCGATTTCTAGGAACTGAGTTGCTTGACAAGTCCAGTATATATATATATATATATATATATATATATATAAAAGTGAACATTGAAGTCAACACTTCTTCCCCTCCCCACCAGCTATGGGTAAATATCAGGACAGACCGGGTTCTATAGCCTTGGATGGCAACTGCTCTAGCGCAGAAAAAATGGCAACCTACTGCGGGAAAAAATCTGCCTCGTCAGTCATGTATCGAAAGATACATGATTGCCTAAGCGTGTATCAAGCATGGCACATAACTGACTTAGGCGGCATGGTGGAGTAATGGATAGCAGCTCGGATTGAGGAATCGGAGAGCCGAGTTCGAATTCCAGTCGAATCCAATATGTTCACTTACGTGCTAATACCCTTGGGAAAGTTATGAATCCTCTTCTCCCCCAGCTATGGGTAAATAGAACGACAGACCAGATTGGATGGCAACTGAAAGAAACCTACTGCGGAAAAATCTGCCTCATCAGTCATATCTTGATGTATCACTCATGGCATATAACAGAATCTTTTCTGTAATTAAAACTCAAATATTAAGTTGAGAACTCAATTTGGGCTGTTAAATAGCCTTGTCAGATGAAGAAACTTATGTTTATGTCATTCATAGCATCCAAATCGTTCAGAAATATCTACGTTGAGACACCAAAGTTAAGTAAAATCAAGCCTGGTTAGTACCCAGTACGCTTGCGAATATCAGATGCTGTAAGCTTGGATGTGCAAGTGGTATGATGTGATTACTGTCATATCAGGTGGAAACACCGGTTCTCGTACGATCGCCAAAGTTAAGCAACACCAGACCTGGTCAGTACCAAGATGGGTGACCGCTGAGGATACCAGGTGCTGTAAGCTTGGATGTGTGAGTGGTGTAATGGATAGCGGATTTTTTACTCGGAGACCACAGTTCTAATTCCAGTTGGGTTCATTATATTCACAAATACCATTGGGAAGATTGTGAATCCATCTTCTCCCCGCCAACTATAGGTTAATTAGTAAGACTCTTATCGCTAAATCATTATTATCGCCGCCCCAATTCTCACAATCTAAAAATATTTTCTCTCTTAAAATAGTCTGCAAAAGGGTTGATAAGCCGTAAAAAAACGAATCAATGAACACAATACTACACGTCATACAAACGCCCTAAGTTTATTTGACTGCACACAGGCTTATCTAGTATTTCTACAAACAAATAAGTCTTCTCAAACGTAAATCTCTCAAAATTTTTCAAAATATACAAAAATATGTAAATAAAAGAGAGGATATACAGGTGTAATAGAAAATATTCCAACTCATTATAATTAAAAATTTTGAACTGGTGTATTTTAGAAAGGATTAAAGATAATTACTGGAATTATAAAAATTTGTTATAACACTATTGGACTCTAAGCAGTAAGAAGGTATAATTGCACTCTCAGCTTAACAAAAGAATCGTGATGAAATCGATCATAGACGAAAATGACATATTCATCATTAATTAATCATAGTTTTAAGGATCGGAAGTGAGAATGAAGGATTGAAATAAAGGATTGATACATACATATATATATATATATATATATATATATACTATATAGGATCATTTTTCCAACTTATTCAAGATGATCTTCGTCCAAACTAACCTTTTAACTTTCTAAAATGACTAACAAGTTTTTCACATTTTTTCATGTACAATTTCATTTTCAAGTTTTTTTTCACTGCTTTTTGGACTGTCGGAGCTGAAACTCTCTCTTTTGCAAACGTCTATATTGAATTGAGTTGGATCTTTTCTAATTGATCTCTTTATTCAAAGATGAAATGATGATCCATCTTCCTAAACAAACCTCCTGATTCAGTTTTCTTCGAAAATTGATAAATTTTTTAATAATTCAACTGATGATTGAAGTTTTCTGCAATGGGTTGAATGTAGTTAAAAATTTTGAAGGTGTCTCGAATGGGGAATTTTTTCTCTCAACATTGCTCAGTTAATAAAAGAAATCTGTTCTGACAGAAATTTTTTTAACATTTTCTTCTTTTGCAAGATTGAATAAGGGGTTTTTGAGCTTGAATTTGGTGATTCTGGAAAAAGAAAAAGTTAAATTCAAAACCTGATGAACATTGTTTTTCATCTGCTTGTTTTGGAAAATTCAAACTTTTGTTAATTTCCAAGATGATTCCAAAGATATTTTTTGCTGGAATTGATTAATTAAGGAAGTATATGATTGAAATTAATTTTATACGCGAGATAATATTAAAATAAAAATTCAAAAGGAATTTTAATTTTTTATATACAATTGATTTACAAAAAAGACTATTTTTCGTTCCTCTTTTCAATGATTATTGTTCAGGAAACTTCATATTGATATTGAATGTACCAGATGAATGTAATTTCAAAATAAAAGCGTTTTTAAAATTTGAAAATGGAATTTTTGTATTGGAAATAATGAAATTTATATATTTTTTTTAAAAAATACAAATCATATAAAAATTTTCTTTATATATATAAATCCAATAAAGGTATTGACAATATAAAGACATGAAGAACAAGAGTAATTTTTTAATCTACATTCAAATTTGAGGAAAGGAGAAAGAGAAGGATATGATCAAGAAAAAATATTATATTTTTTATTATATTTGAATATTTGAAGATATTATATCTTGTATCAGAGAGGAAGAAAGTAAACTGAAAAAGAGTTCAATTAGAGGAAGAGCGAAAAAAAATAAGCTGTTGGAGTAGAAAAGTCGTTTAATTTATCTGTTTCGACATTGAAAGGTAAAACGAGATGCCAATGTGATAGAAAGCTATGCATAAAAAGGTTGTTGCTCGTTTAAAAGTTTATGAAAATAAAAATATTGAAAAGACAGATAAAATATATCACGTATAAATAAAGTTACTTTATAGATGACAGATCAGGATTAAATCTTTGCATATTCGTCTCTGGATTTTGCTGAGGACCTCATTAAATGAACATAAAAAAAAAACAAAAGATAATATATATAATTTATATAAACGAATGGTAAATTTATATTTGAAGGCTGGACTCAGTTTATGAAAAATTGAAAAAAACGACACAGAGAAGAAACTTTCAATTTGTTTAGATGAAAATATTGATAAATTGTAGTTGTTCCATCAAAGGTCTGTGAAAAGCATGAGATCAAGAAGGCGCAGACATACATTTTGAAAATGGTGGAGTCCTTAATAGAAATCAGAGAAATATTGAAACATTTTATTAGATACGATGTAAAAAAAAAAATTGAATATGATACACAAAACACAAGCAACACATATTCATTTTTAAATTTAAATTTAAACATTTTGTATTCTTTCCACCTATTTATAAAAGTAAGAATAATTTAACATAAATGTTTGTAAATCATTATTATTCGCATTGTTAGTAATTTTTTAACTTGCATTAAGGTATGGAACTAACAATTCAGTGAATGGAAAATTTCTTTCTTTTTAAAGAACGTTTTTTGCAAATTAAAATGATTGAATTTAGTATAAAAAAAAAATCATAAATATCTCATGTATTTTTTGTTTCCCCCAAGATTGCATTTTCAAAATTATTTTTTCATCTGGATTCATAAATTAGGAGAATAAAAAAGTCCCCAGCGAACATCATGTCGGATTGAAAAAAAACAGTTAAATTTATATTTAAAAATTAAAACTATTAAATTATTCGGACTATTGTCCTCATCTTTGTGCCAATTATCAAAATTTTTTAATTTTTTCTCCGGCCTTCTTCACAGGTTTTGGAATGTAAACTTATTATTTTATTTTTCAAGAATTCATTAGACTCAATTCTAGTTCCACGTGTCATGTAAAATGGATGATTTATCTTTTTGTTACTAAAAAATGAAAGGTTTTTAAATTTCAATTAAGAACTTTTTCCATTTGGATCTAAATAAGAACTTTAAAATTTGTGCCATGACATTAACTTTTTAACGAAATTATTTTAATAGAAACATATATATATTTAAATATGAGATTTTAAAATTTGACCTGAATTCCAACCATTGAATGAAGAAGATCGATAGAAATGAAAAAAAAAAACGTAAAAAAAATTTGATTTATGGAATTTTTTTTTTTAATGAAATCAAACATTTACACAGTTTATGTTGATAAAATATCTCAGAAATAAAAACAGATAAGTTGGCCAGAACGTTGTAAAAAGAAAAGCGAAAAGATGAGAACAAAAGATAAATAATGTAAATAAATGAGACATTTTAATTTTTCATCTCAAATATAGACAGATTTTGTAAAAAAAACGTTGTATTTTGATAAAATATTTTTTCAAAGAAATCCGAATGGCCCAAAAAATGTAAATAGTTAAAAAAAATCTTGTATTTAAAACACTCTGCCCTCTTAAAAGAAAAAGAATGAGAATTTAGATGGTATCTGTCAACATTTCCGTCAACTCCATGGAAGGCAGAATCAAAAATTTTTCCTCCCATCACTAGAACCTCGTTCTACTATCAACGAGCGGATTGGGACTCGTTCCGTGATTCCTCCGCGATGTTCCCTGGGATGTAGAGCTTTCTTTTTAAAATGTCCAAGAATGTGCTATTGAGCAAAAATCCTGGGTTAAAGCTGGAATCGAGGCTTTAAATAAGAAAAGAAATATAATCAATGTTTCAATCCCTTTGGTATTAAATTTGCTTGCTCAGCCGCCATTGCCCATAGGAAAATTCTTTAAAATATATTTTATAGCGACATGTCGGACTGCAATAGATACGTCTTTGCCTCCGTCCGTAACGAGTGTAAGTGTGTCCTCAACGAAGATAAGTCAATATTTGCTGCTATAATGAAGGAACGTATTGCATCTCGCAAATTTGGCTCCAAAGATTATTGGCGGGTCTGCAAGAGCGTCCTGAACAATATAAAACCCTCCATACCTCCTTTATTCAACCAGTTCGAGGTCTTGACCTCCTCTACCGACAAGGCTGAATGCTTTGCTCGGAAATTTTCATTCAATTCAACGCTCGACTCCACCGGTGTACCCATACCAGACTTCCCCTTAGAAGAATTGAGACTCTATTGAGCGGCTTACACATAACCCCGTCATTGGTATTGGGCATTATCTCCAATTTAGACCCCCAACAAGGCTAGTGGTGGAGATGGATACCAGCCATTGTCTTGAAGAAATGTGCGCCTGAACTAGCGCCCGCCCTCTCTAAACTATTTACAATTACTGCCTCAAGGAATCTTTTTTTCCTGACTGCTGGAAGTTTCATCCATTGTTCCTGTCTTTAAGAACTCTGGAGACCCCTCTGACCCCTCTAATTACCGTCCTATCAGTCTCCTAACCCTCTTCGGCAAAGTCTTTGAAGCCTTTAATCAATGCCGAAGTGGTTAACCACCTTACATCCCATGATCTGCTCTCAGACAAGCAATATGGTTTCCGCTTTGCCCGATCTACAGCTGATGTGCTTACGGCCATCACTGAAACCGTCTACCAAGCCCTTCAAAATAACGGTGAGGCTCGTGCCGTGGCCCTAGACATCTCCAAAGCGTTTGATAGGGTTTGGCATGCCGGCCTTCTTCGTAAGCTCCAGGGTTATGGCATTACTGGTCGATTGTTTGATCTAATACAATCATTCCTGTCAAACCGTGAATTGAAGGTCGTTCTCAACGGATTCTCCTCCAGTTCCTATCCCACGAACGCAGGTGTTCCCATAAGGCTCCATCCTTGGCCCCTACTTTTCCTTATTTTCATCAATGACCTTCCTGACGCCATAAGATTCCCAAGTTGGCATCTACGCGGACGACACTACAATTTATTCCTGCCTCAAAAAACAAATCTAGTGTCGCTGACAAAACTAACCTGGCCGTGCGTCTTGAAATGGACCTCCAATCGGTTGTTAACTGGGGCA